CGAGGTGCAAGACAAAGGATAAAAAGGTAACGTTGCTGCAACTACTGAGAGTATACTGAGTGATCGCCTTGCATTTCATACAGCTACGAGCTACCGAAGATCACAGGCTTTTAGGCTACTACTGCTACAGTCAGACTCGCTTTCTCTAGATACCTGAATAAAAACCAGCGTACAGCTGTGAAAGAACGTAGAGTCAACTCTCAGACAGTTGCTCTGTAGAGTTATTGAAAAATGAAGTTCCATCAGTGCAGACCACAGGGTCTCAGAGTAATGTCCAGGGGTGCTTGACAGAGGTATGTGATGCAGTAGGATCTTTGGGGTTCTTCCTAGTTCTGAGAAGTTCTGGAGTTTCTTAGAGGTCACAATGAGGTTTCTTAAAGGGTGGACAGAGGGACTTTCGAAAAATGAGGGCCACAGATATTCCTTAAGAATTCTTGTTGGGAGAAAAAATGTTCTTTTGGATGTAGGATCCATCCCACATGGGCATGTTGCCTGATTAGTGATGTCAGAAAACTAGAACTATCTTTAAAGATAGAGTCTGTAGGAACATATACTGTATCAGACTAAAGTAAAGAGTTTGTCCTCGACTACTAGAGAATCAAGTCACGTGTTTATCTGCCGTAACCTGGCCCCCTGTCTGTGTTTTCTCTTTTTTGTTTCTTTTGCAGTTAGTGCGGACTAACACTATCTTTGTTTTAACACTAAAAAACAATTTTGAAATCAAGTAACGTCAGTTAAAAATACTTGAATGGAAATAATTAGAGTTAATGAGGGTTCGTAACAGGTTTTAGTCTAGCTCTAGCCCTGATGTTTTTGTGACTAAAACTAAAGGAACATTAATCCTCAGATGAGGTAAAGAAGCGTGTTGTGACCTGGAGTGAAAACCCATAATTCTACAAAAGATTAACCATCTGATGGAAACATTTAGCATTAACAATGCAATGGGAAATAATCAGGGAAATAACATTGTTGGTTGTCATGAAATGAATGAAAAATAATCACAGAAATAACATTGTTGGTTGTCATGAAATGAACGGTGGGACAGTCAGAGATGAAGAAGAAAACATGGGACGGTGAGGAGCGGATTACAGTCAGGCCATGGAAAAGACCGATCACTGTAACATATTAATGTCTAAATATACTTTTCTTTGTAATGCAAACCCAATTTTCAGTACCTACGTGTACTAATCTACTGGTTAACCCAATTATATAATCTAGAAATGTGACCCAACAACCCCAGGTACATCAGAAAACCATACCATGTGTGGAGCTCTACGCCCTAATTTGTACCAGTGCAATAGTTTTGACTGAGTAACCGTTGAATATATAGCACCCCCTGCAGATAGAAAGGAGGAGTTACATGCTGTGTTTTACAAACACCAATCCAAAATTGCGACACACTCTGCCTTTAATGTTCCACAACCAGTAACAGAGGCGCTGTGTGTATTTGATGCTTTCCTGTAATATTTGTGCAGTGTGCTGAAGTACTCAGTAGAAAAACTGTACAGTGGTTTGTCAGTATGGCTCTACGGCGACAGGAAGCACAAAGTGGTATGTGAGTTGTACTTATAAAGTACTATTAACGTCTTGATCACCACTTTACAGTACAGTCCAATCACCCATTCAGAACACACACACACACACACACACACACACATACACACACACACAGTGCATCTAATTTCAGCATGTTGTCCTGTTGAAATGCCGCAGGAGAAATTTAGGATTAAGCGTCCTGTGTGGGAAGATATCAGCATGTAGGGTTAAAGTCTGACAGCAGGTCCGAGCCCGGGCAGCATCACATGGGTTACATGGTTACAAAGTGGGTATAGGTCCCAACAGGGAAAGGTGTTTGGGCCACATGTGGTTATCAGTTGACGGTTAAGCAAATCATAGGGAGAATACACAGAATAGTCCATCATGACGGAATATACAGCAGCTCAGAGTGAACAACATGGACTCCGTGGACAGAAGGTTCTACTTCACCTGGTCTGGATGTGTCAAACGG